CCCCGTTCCTTCCCCTCGCACCGCGGCCGATAGCTGGGCCAAGTACTGGTGGTTTAAACCACCACTACCCCCCGCTGTCCTAAACTAAGGGGGGACCAATAGCACAGGTCCATGAGGACTACCGGTAGCACAGGGGGGGGAACTGGCGGAGTGGCAAAATCGGATTGTGTCGAATTGCCCCCGCAATTTATTTCGGGGTTGAAATGATTTTTTAAATGTTGTTTTTAATATTTTTTCCTAGAAAGACCACGACGAAATCTGTGGACCCTCCAAATCTCAAAAATTTCCGATATTGTATTGGACCTAGGCTTCATTTCTATGCGCATGGGTACCCCCGGCGCGCACGGATTGTTGCACAGCCCCATGCGGCCCCAGCGCGGTGTGTTTGGGGGGCAGTTCTGGGGACGGCAGGCCCAGTTCCAGCACCTCGCAATTTTTTAAGGCCCCCCCACACGTCGAATTTGTTTATCAGCGCGCGGGGGCCTTAAAAAAATTGATCTTGGACTCCAGATCTCAGCCGTAGATCTTCGAAGATCTACGGCAGAGATTCGTCGAGGACGTCCCCACGACCCGCGCATTTTCAAAATCGAGTTCGAAATTTCGAACTGCACAGGCCTGAGGACGGGAGTCCCCCGTGTTGCCATTCCGCCCGCCATTTCGTCGTCGTTGCCGTCATCGGTCAGGTCTCGCCATTGCCATTCCGAACAGCAAAGGTAAGTGGTCTTCTTCTTCTTCTTCTTCTTCCTTTTCTTCTTCTTCGTTGAACTTCTCCACCCGCTGCTGCTCCTCCTCCTCCTCCTCCTCCTCCTCCTCCATCTTCTTCTTCGTTCAACTTCTCTATGTGCTCGTCGTCCTCCACTTCTCTCCCACCACTTCGTTCCTTCTCTTCCGCCATCGTCCACCTCCCTCCCACCACTTCGTTCCTGCTCTTCTGCCATCTCCCGCCACCTCCCACTACCCCTCCTGCTACCTCCCACTAACCCTCCCACTATCTCCCACGTCCCTCCCACCATCCTCTGCCTCCCTCCCGCCAATCCTCCACCTCCTATGTCCCCTCTCACCATCTCCCACTTCCCTCTCTCCTTCCACCTCCCTCCCGCCATTTCCCACCTCCCTCTCTTTCGCCATCTCCCACCTCCCCACATGCAACCTCCTACCTTCCTTTCGCCACCTCCAACCTCCCGCTCGCCATCTCCCACTCTCCTCTCTCCATCTTCCACCTCCCTCTCGCCATCCCTCACCTCCCCGCCAGTATGGAAAAGGTTTCTTATACACATCTAGATGTGTATAAGAGACAGGAGTTAGCGCGACATACGTACCTGACCATGTCCCGCACCAACCTTCCTTTCGCCACCTCCAACCTCCCGCTCGCCATCTCCCACTCTCCTCTCTCCATCTTCCACCTCCCTCTCGCCATCCCTCACCTCCCCGCCAGTATGGAAAAGGCTGCTGATTCGGGCACATCTCTGCATGCGCAACAGCCCTCGCACGGGCGACCCGTGCAGCCTGCACGGGTGCACGGCCGTGCCCGCCCGACCGGGCAGCTCAGGAAGCCTAGTATTGGACGTGAAAAATCGCTGAAGCCTGGTACTTTTCCCGTTGGCCAACACGTGATAGAGCGGCGAAAATGGAATATGTGCGACATTTATTTCACGGTCTTAAATATTTTTTTGAAATTTTTAAATATTTTTCGTGGAAATTCCACGACCAAATCTATAGGCCTGTCTATTTGCAGAGTTGTTGAGTCATCCTTCTGCGCGCAAAAAATCATGGAAGTTGGGGTACTTTTCCCGTTGTCCCACATGTTGCAGAGTGGCAAAAACGAAAAACGTGACAAAATGACACAACATTTATTTCACGGTCTAAATTTTTATTTATTTATTTTATTTTTCCTAGAAAGATCACAATCTAATCTACAGGATCTCAAATTTTCACATTGTTTTTTTTATTCTTCTGAGCACAAAAAATCGCCAAAGTTGGCGCTTGAAAATTCCTGGACTGGACCCGCCTGCATCTGCCAGTCGCCCCCCCCCCCCAAAGAACCCGGTCCGCAAGGCCAGGGAAGGTGAATTTAGGCCGGCGGGGGTAGTGGTGGCTTAAGAGTGCCCGAGACATAAAAGTGTGTGGGAGCTAAGCAGCTGCTCTCAGAATTCTCCACCATATCCGACAATCTGAGCCAATGACTCAGCTAGGGGCTAGCCATGTTGGCTGGGTCAGGGCATTGCCTGTTGGCCGCCTCAGCCTGATCTAGGCCACTGTGAAGGTGGTCTTGTCCACTGCGCCTTCTGCCATTCCCAGGCCCAATAGCCTGATCTTGGCCGACCGAGAAGGTGGCCTCTTCCAAATATGTTTCGCAGTTCTCCACAGGGACAAGAAGAAAATATACTTTGCAGCTCTCCATGGGGACAAGAAGGAAAGATGTGGGGCAAGGCAGAGCAGAGAGGAGGGAAGAGAATGAGGGACCTCATTTCATTCTTCATGCTCACCAGCGCAACAGACTGACGCACAGTTGGGTTATACGGACTGCATGGAGGAGTCGAGATGTATTACTCAGGCATTTTGATCACACCCCAAAACAGGACATGCGAGTTTCCGGTGAGGCGAGGTGTGCGATAGCATCCAATGCTGAGAGTAGAACACACTATTTCCGATTGCGTGCTGCACACAGATGTCCCGAGCACAATAGTTTCCACAACTTTCTGGCAGCAACGGACACAAAAGCATGGCGGCTGCGCTGCTACACTCGCATCACCTCATTTCATTCTTCATGCTCACCAGCGCAACAGACTGACGCACAGTTGGATTATACGGACTGCATGGAGGAGTCGAGGAGAGAAGGTTAACCGACCCCCCATTTTTCAGGTCAATTTATAAGAAAACCATAAGGCCATTTAAAGCAAACTCCACACCAATGTATAGAGTGCACTTCTTACTAATATATTAAAAAAAANAAAAAAAAAAAAAAAAAACAAACAAACAAACAAACAAACAAACATACATAAAACAGCAACCCAAAAGTGCATTTTCAGGCAATTTTGGCATGAAACACGTCATCCAAATTTCAGGATTTTCAGGCCTCCCAACGGCACAAATTCTAATAACCCAAATAGTACCAAATTTGGCAGACAGCAACCCTAAACCAAAACAAAAACAGGCAAAAAAACAAAAAAACAAAAAAACAAAAATTTGACCCCCAAACCCTAATTTCAGTTTTGGTCCCATTAGTCAGGAGCTGAAAATGGAGGTCCTCTGCCGCATTGATTTCGCCAAAATCGGCAATTTGGATACTCAACGATGAATGGTCATTGTTTTGATTCCTCCTCTACATCCAGGAAAGACAATGATAAGACGGGTCGGACGAGTGGAGGACATAGTCATCTGGAGCGTCAAGACAGAGACCTGCATGTGGATTATACCATCGAAGTGCTGCCCGCACAGGGAGAGCTGATCGCACGCCTAAGCGTACATCTGCAGAGTCATCACATAAGAACGGACGTGAGCACGCAGCTGCAAAGGCTGGCACGTCCACTGGTCATGTGATCTCGCTTCGGTCAGGCAGATTCAGAGTGCGTGTGTCCAAGAGCGTTTAGAAGCTGTTGCCACTCCGGGGAAAGAGGGTGAGTCCCTCGGCCTGCCTCCAAGTCAGGCTGCAGTGTCAGTGCACTCTCTGGCTGTTGCTGGTGCAGCACCGGCTGTTGCCTTGGGGCACTGCTCGTCTGTGATGGAAAATATTAGCGACAAATGTGACCGGAGGTCCAGCGTATCAACCTGCAATCGAGCAATGGCGCTGCGGACGAGGATGGCATTTGGACAATCCACATAAGCACGGACATCTACTGTCCCTGTCCACTTCATGAACACAGCCATGACACATGATGCCGTCCCACCATGCCAGGAAAATGGGTGATAGATGTTTCTCATTCATCCATCATTGCATTCCCAGCGCCAATCTAAATCGCTGAATTAAACAAATCGCTCCTGCAACCTGCCGATCATAAATCAGAATGCCTACCACAAGGCAAAGTGAAATGGGACGAAAGTGAAGCCCGCAGATGTGAATTCCAGCCCACCCCAGCATGGTTAGTCCATCACATACCACCATGACCCAGTGTATCCAGACACAACTTCTCAACCAAACGGGTTTTTTACATGCTGAACACCACGAGTACTATTTCCCGCGAGCTCAAAGCATGCTGCGTGAATGCTCATTCATTCATCATTGCATTCAAACAAGACTAGAACTACATATCAGGCAGGTGATGAATGCCTGGTCAGGGTGGGTAGAGGGAGGGGGAGGCGGGGGCAAACACCACCTTCACAGTTCTGGGGGCAGAAGCTGGGCAGTGACCATCTCTTTGTAATGATCAGACAGAGCTCAGTAGCGAGCATCCAATCCCTTCACTGTGATCAGAAAGAGGTCTTGTTATGCTCACGGCAGCTGATGCGCACCCGCACGTTCACAGGTAGTGACCATCCCGGCCACAGACTGCCTCGTCAGATTTCACCAACTCGTTAAGGACGTTGAATGGCGCCAGTCTGCCCAGGATGCAATTGACTGATGATGAGGACTCACCTCTTTGCCCATAGGTAGCGAGTGATACCCTTGAGGAAAGTGATCAACTGACTCAACTCCACTCATCCCACCAACCAGGCAACCCTAGCAGACTGTGTAGTTCACACCCCTGACAACAACACCACCAAGTCCGAAGGACCAGTGCATCGAAGTCGTAAACCAGCCGGGCTTTTTTCCACTCGCTCATCAGGAGTTGGTGAATCTCTTTTTTCCACTACATACCCACTCACTGTATTTGCTAAACGCAACCCCAAAGGAAAAGCGGTGCGACAGACCGACCAGCTGGGCTTTTCTCCACTCACTCATCAGGAGTTGAGTGCTTGCTGGGAAGGGAAGGGGAGGGGAGGGGGGCGGGGTACATTCCCTATCGCCTTTTCTTCATTGCTTCGGGGTCCTGCTTGGCATCGGCAGAAAAAGAACCAGCTCCCTGACAGAACCCCTTGGCCGCTTACTTCAGAAAAAAAAGGCTTTCCCACCACCCATTTTGCACGAAGGACCTTCTGTGTGTCTGGGCAGACCTAGGACAACCCTGTTCAGCTGGCTGAATCTGCATGACCTGAGGGTCGTCAGACGTCAGACAGTAGACCTGAAGGACCTTCTGAATCTGCAGAGGGAATACTGTGGGGAATAGAACTTCATCTATTGTTTCACCCTTCCTACACATTATGTTGCACCTGTCGTACATGGGCTAATATATCGTCACAAACAGAACTGCCCGGTAAACCGTAGGCAGAGAGAGAGAAGAGGACAACAAACGAGGGGCTGTGACAAACTGTTTCGTCGGGGTTTCACCGACTCATCAGGAGGCTAATAATATATATATATATATTTTTAATATATAGTAATGATAAGTGGGCCTTAACCCCAAAGTTCCCTCGCCTAGACTGAAAGTCAACGGCTTGCCCACGTACAGGCAGGCTAAACTCTGAATTTCAGAAGTTTCAACTTTCAAGCCTAACCTGTGAACCGTTCCCCAGTTGCTACACCCATTAACAGTTGAAAATACAGACCTGAGTTCGATTCCAGAAGGGAGAGGGGGAAAAAAAGGGAAAAAAAACTTTGTAACCTTCCCAAAATAAGGAGTTACACACAATTTCCGACCACTGCAAAAGTCGCCAAACAGAGCATCACACTTGTGGATTGGGAGCAGCAGGGAACAACAGCTAAAACAGCATCCATAGATGAGACCCAAAACACAAAAGTGAGAAAGACACTTTTATCATTATGAATTTATGATGAATAACTTGTTGAGAATGAACTTGATCCACCACCATGCTTACTGGTGCTGGTGGGGCTACCTCTGCTCCCATCTTTCACATGGATGTGACACTCTTTTCTATTCTTCCTGTGCTTGCGTCTCCTTTTGGTATTACCTTTTGCACTCTCCCCTCTCCTCTTGTTGTCGCCTTCTCCTTTCCTCCTCTTCTTTGTCTTTACCTTCTTCGTTCTCCTCTCTTTCTCTTCCTTCAACCTTTCGCTCTTCTGCCTACTCTTCCTCTTCCCCCTCTTCTCAGAGTTGCTGTCCGACGTATCTTCTTCACAGTTTTTGTGATCGTTATCGCTACTGCCATTTGGACGACCTCCTCCACAGAACCAAGGGTCTGGCTGCCTCCCCTTCTCCACCTCCCATTCTCTACAGAACACTTCGTCTGTACACAAACTGTCCGACACATCCATTCCCCTGATCCATTTTGCCTCGCTCCTCGTCTCGACTTGCCGGTCCGCAGTGCAGTCCATCCATTTGTCTTCGCGGTCGAAAGGCAGGCGACTTAAGAAACCACTGCTCCTTGGAACGTTGGTACACTTCGCTGACGGTAGATTAGACCCTGCCTCGTTCATGCGGGAGCCAACCTCACCCCGCCCTCGTTTTGCTCTGTCGCACCAAATCAAACACGAGATCCGCCCAGGACGATATTATATCGTACGTCAGCTTAGTCCCACCTTTTCAACAGATAGGGGGAGTCGTTACACAACATCTGCATTAATGCAACACTTTCCGAAGGAAACTCTGAGAGCTTGTACACTTTTCAGAAAGAACTTATACACATCTGTCATGATGTCATCAGTCACTTCGGCCAGGGACAACTGACCCCAAGAACTCACCCCAGATCCTGATGCTTAACGAGGATCTGTGATACGAATGCCAATTAAATACAAAACACAAGACAAAAATACAAACATCATAGAACCACCACCAAAATTTGCAGACACAGAGAGAGAGAGAGAGAGAGAGAGAGAGAGAGAGAGAGAGAGAGAGAGAGAGAGAGAGAGAGAGAGAGAGAGAGAGAGAGAGGCTGTGACAACGGCCGAATTGTGTCTGATGTTCGCCATTTATTTCCTTTTTTTTGGGGGGGGGAGGGCCGAGGGAGCATGTCTGTGTTCTTTTCATTTTTGGGGTTGGAGTGTGTGTGTTTGCACCTTGCACCATGCACTCCACATCGTAAGGCCCGCCCCCTCATTTGGATTCATGTGTGAACCTCCCTTCCATGTTGCAAACAGCAAAAATCCCAAACAAGTGTGTGTAGACATTTCCGGGTAGAATTGCGAGGTCCCCAACCTCTATTCCATTTCTATTTGCAATACAAAGTTGCAGTCTATTCATTACAAATTTTACAAAAAACAAAAACGGCAAAATGAGCAGGGTTGTCCAAAAACAGACAAAGCAAAAAGCTCAATACCTGGCTCTTAAGAACTCTTCCACCTCCTTATCATCCAGACCGCCATCCCCACTCTCCTCTAGCAGCGGCCTTTCGCATCTGAGCACTCTGCTTCGGCGTCCCAATGATTCATGTGATTCATCCTTTTCTGATAAAAATCCCTGTTCACTGTAGCTTTCCAGAAGCTCTTTAGGATGCTGTATCCCTCTCCGAGAGTATTCTGCATCGTGATGCCTCAATCTGGCGACATCATCATCCTCAGTTGGAGTCTTTTGCAGGGCAGCGTGACAATCCATTTGTGTCGCATGCTGTACACACTCATCTTGGGTCATGCTCCTCCTTTTCCTCTCCCTCTTCTTCCCCTCGCCAAATTTCCTACCACATTCCCGACATTTCCCATCTCTCTCAGTGAGTTGTGCCCTCCACAGCACGGGCCTGAGATGGTAGCTTAGACTCTCCATCTCTCTGTCCTTGGCATTGCGGTCACGGTCATATCTCTCCTCCGTAAGATGTTTTCGTCTCTTACCTTCCGTGTAGCGCCGTCTTCTGCTGCACCCGTCCTCGTACCCAGCACAATGATCGGGTTCTGGGCAATCATATTCATGGCAGATGTCACAACCTCTTGACCCACATCTCGCTGTGCTATGTCCTTCCGGCTTGCCAATCAACATTTCATCCCTGCCTCTCGAACACACACCATCTCGAGGAGATAGGTCGTCATTTCGGGGAGAGGAACATCTTATCCATGGACGTTCACACACATCTTGATTCATATGTCTCCCTTCTTTCCTCTCTCTCTTCTTTCTTTCACCACATTCCCTACCACATTCCCTACCGCACTTCCTACCACATTCCCTACCACATTCCGAACGTTTCCCATCCCTTTCATTCATTTCTGCACTCCAGAGTACAGGCCTTTCGTGGTAGCTTTGACACTCATTCTTCCTGGTTTTGACATTGCTGCCATGGTCAAATCTCCCCTGCCGATCGCTGTCAGCAAGTTGTGCTCTCAACAGCACAGGCCTGTCATTGTAGCTTTGACTCTCAATCTTCCTGGTTCTGGAATAGCTACCATGGGCAAATCTGTCCTCCATAAGGTGTCTTTGCCTCCTCGCCTCTGTGTGGCGCACATCTCTACTGCATCTGCCCTCATACCCATCACTATGATCAAACTCTTGGCAGTCATATCCATGGCAACTATTGCTCAATTTTGACGGCCATCTGAACAAACCATGTCCTTCAATCTTGCCTGCAAACATTTCTTCCTTGCCTCTAGAAACCACACCATTTCCAGGAGACAAGTAGTCGTCTCGGAAGGAGGCATATCCTTTCTCCTCCTCCTCCTCCTCCTCCTCCTCCTCCTCCTCCTCCTCCTCCTCCTCCTCTTCTCTAGCCGATGATTGACCACAACACCTGCAGCTCTGATGTCGTCCAAACCTGTCTCTGTGATTACCCAGGCCATCATCACCTCTTCTCTCACGTCTTTTTGCTGAATTACCGTGTGGATGTTCAGTGCCTCTGCTCTTACTGTCCCTTGCCTGAGCCCCACTCCCAATCTCTGTCTCCCGCCGCCTCCACATCTCATTCATGTCTGTCATCTTATTCACTGCACAAAAATCATCCCCCAGCCACACAATAAATCCAATTTCACTTTCTCGACCATTGAATCATTGAGCCTCCAACGGGATGTTCCTAAGCAACATAGTACATACTACATAGTACCTACTACATAGTACCTTATCATTTCCCACAGACGGAGGCAGCATACTACATAGTACCTTATCATTTCCCACAGACGGAGGCAGCAGCAGCAGCATTGGCCAAGACTAACTGCAAGCTAATGTTTGCAAAAAAAAAACAATCAAAATGAATGAATGCTTACATCTTTCCAGGTCATGTGCAGGAACCAAAGTGGACAGACCAGAATTTTGCTGGTTAATGATTGACCGACTCTCAGTCAATACAGTTAAACGACTCAGGTCGATGCCACAACTTCTCTCAGGAGGAGGATTCAGACATAACTCAGAGCATCAGCATGTTGTTTCTGCCAAATTCTGTCGCTGCTCTTCTTCACAGCGTACTCCAATGACCTCACACAGTTCAGACTGAAAAATCTGCATTTCTGAGAAAACTTGCTGCCATTCATCTGCTGGCTGAGATTTCTGCATCGGAGTTCATTTTACTGTGATTCCTGAGTGTCTGTGTGGCCTGCTGATGATGTATGTGTGACATGCGCTCCCCTGCGCCTAAGTCCTGTGTCCTTCTGCTAACTCTGTTTTCCGTACTGTGTTTTCAATTTTCACCACAACAGCCCCTATATATTTCACCCAGACGAGTAGATCCAAAATCGAAGCAGCTTTAGTCCTATCGCAAAGAACGAAAACACTTGAGTTGAGATAAACCAACAACGACGCAGTTATTACCTTTATAGCAAGTGACACGGAGCAAAACAGAAGCGTTTAAATCCCGTTCTTAATCCACGAGTACCCCAGGGGGTCTTAGCCCCCCTCTGACGCAAATGAGGCGTATGGACCCCCACTTCAGCCTTCGCGTTAACACCTAAAAATGCGGTAGGTACTGGTGGTTTAAACCAGCAGATACTTGGCACAGCTACCGGCCGCAGGAAAAAATTGAGTAGAAAAACGTTTCTAGTTGGATGAATTTGGGCGCTCCTGTAGTGGCCCGTCCGTTTCCTAAAATCGTGGCGCGTTAACGGGCACGACTTTAGGAAGTATACTGGTGGTTTAACCGTGCTCGCTTTGGATTTTTTGGGTACCCATTTCATTTGTCCTCGCAACTCCCCTTTTACTGTGCCTCTCATGTGCAAGGCTCGCCACGTCGATTGTGATCGCGTGCGAGCCGCCCACATCCCCGTGTGCAATAACGCCCCACTTGCACATTATGAAAGGAGGCAGCGCAAAGGCGGAGGTATATTCCTGTTCATTTTTCCTCAAATATTCAGCTTATATTTTGTCTGTTCTCTTAACGATGCTCATCCGTATGCATTTCCTAGTAGTGCAGAAGAGGAGATAGGAAGGAAACAAGAGGTGGAGTTTGTCACAGGGTTCCAAATACTCACCACTGGAGCAGACTGCTCTACAATGGCACATGAAGGACACAGGAGGTGGAGTTTGTCACAGGTGTTTGGATTGCATAAGAGATTTCGAGTTGAAGAGCAGCCGCCGCCTAAGGTAAGTGCCCACCCCTACAGACCGGGCAGGACCGGTCCTGCCCACCCCTACAGACCGGTCCTGCCCACCCCTACAGACCGGACAGGACCGGTTGGGTTGGGGGGTACCCCTACAGACCGGGCAGGACCGGTCCTGCCCACCCCTACAGACCGGACAGGACCGGTTGGGTTGGGGACTGTGGAAGCACCGCATCCAATTCTCGCAGCCGCAGTTGCTGCATCGAATGGCACGGCGTAGACAGATGTCACCGCCTACCTGGCTTCTACATGCTAGGAACACAGAGGCACGCCGACTGCAATTGTAGAGGCATTGCCGTTCCAGCCCTGTCAGGGTGTCGTACATGAGTGCACTACTGACTGTCATCATACATATGAAAACAAAACTAGCATGGGCTAACACTTCATAGTCCTCACGGCACAAAGCATGTGAACCACATGCTAGCCGGATCGCAGGCGAGTCGTCACACAGCGGCATTGAGCAGATGTCCCCAGTATTTATTCCTTCTCTGTGGGCAGACGACCACAGGGATTTATCCAAAGCCAGCGTGTTTTTTTTTGTTTTTTTTTGGGAAGGCCAGGGTGTTTAGCTGCTGCAGGATTTGGTCCGCAACAGCTCGCCGTGGTGGTGATAAACTTTCAGCTCAGCGCTCTGTAGGTGGTTCATATCGTAGTCTATTTTCCTCCTCAGGCTGCTGCATCTGTTGTTCGTCTCGCACGGACGAGGGAGATCCTGCTGCGATTGCAGCAGGTGTGTGCCCAACAGTGCATGTGGGACACGGCTAAGAGAGGGTGGGGTGGATGATGGCATCGGGGATAGCCCACGCAGTAGAGACATATACTTTCTATGACAGCTTCCTGGAAACATTGACGACGACACATGGCATGTCGTCGCTGACACTGGCCGAGTTCACTTTCGTCTCAAAAGTCTCAGCCGGAGGCCTGTAGGCCGGGCGGGGTAGAGTGACTGCCACACTACCGTCTTCCCCCGAACACAACGCGCCCTAAAAATGAATGTATACAAGCTATATTTCCGGCCAGATACAGCCAAAAGGAGCGTGCGTTGTGTTCGGCGGAAGACGGTAGTCAGATAATGCAGATCAAAGTAATTGAATTGTGTTTTTGTTTTTTTATAGATTAGTCATGAATGCTTCCAAGGTTGTTTTGAAAAACGTTATTTGAAATATTAAAATATATATATATATATATATATATATATATATATATTTCCTGGAAGGAACGTATGGGGACGCTGGTCCGGGGGCAAGGTCCCACTTGCGCAAATTAGGAGATTTGGGCCGTTGATCTTTGCTATCTACGGTCAGTATCTCTTAATTCGTGCAAGTGAGACCTAGCCCCGGGATTCCATCACGATATCCAAGCCTCAAGCTCGGTAATAAAGTAATGGGCCTAATGGCCCCAGTGATCATGTCAGGGCAGGAATTCGAACACGAGTCCGGGCCTAATGGGTCTAACGGCCCCAGTAGAATTGTGAGGTTGCCCGGACTCGAGGTTGTTTTTTTTTTTGTTTTGTTTTGTTTTGTTTTTTGTTTTTTGTTTCGGACTCGAGTTCGAATTCCTGCCCGGACACTAAAAAAAAAAAAAAAAAAAAAAAGAGAGTTGCACGGGTGCGCCCGGCCAGCCAGCAGCGCTTCGCAGAAATGATGGGGCATTACGATCGGGGGCACAGATGAAACTCATCCCTACGCGTGTCCCTTGCTCATTGGACATAGCCGCTGGATAGGGTGTTATTACAAAACAGTGGAGGCCCTTTGTGTGTCTTTTTGTGGGCGTCAGCTGTTAAACCCCAACCCCTTTGGGAATTGTCGCGGCGCTGGGCGCTGCTTCGGTTGTCCGCACCCTCCCCCCACCGCCCCTCTGTAACGAGCCACCGCTGCGCTTCCTCATCACTACGCTACCTTCTTCCCCCGAATACAACCTATGGTCATTATAGCTGTATATTTGAGGCATCTTTCAGTCTAGATACAGCTAGAATGACCGTACGTTGTATTCGGAGGAAGAGAAGGTAGGACAGAAATCGGAGGCCGTCAGATGTACTGGTGATATATACGGTAAGTCATTATATAGCGGCGTACCATCGTCATCATCTCCGAGCGGCTAAACCCCCTCCTACCGCGACTAAATCCCCCTCCTACCGCGACTAAACGCCCCTCCACCCGCGGCTAAAGTCCCCTCTCCCCGCTCCGGTCTCCCCGCTCCTTCCCTTGCCCATAACCACCACCACCACCATCGCCGTGCCCACGTATCAACGGTGCCCATCGGCTCATCCTGCGGATAGAACGCAGGATATAGATATTCCGAAGTTAACAAGTCCTCGATCGACTCATCCGACGTCTATTGCCCTAACACCTGGGTTGATGTGATTCAACACGACATTCGATGTCATATGTATGTCACAAAAGACACGACGACGATATACTCACGGCACAGTGGGCAGAAAAACCCATCACAAAAAAAAAAATAAAAAAAAAAATCACATCACATCACATCACATGGCATCGTGCGTTCATAGAGGAGGAGAGTCTGAACTTGTGAACATGATGAGCTCAGAGCCAGCAGTCATCCACGTGTAGAGAGCTCTCTACCTACCACTTAGCCGTTGAAACAATGAGGAAGCTCCTCACGGACCGTACTTCGATGACCTCGGACAGATGCCACGTACACGTGGATGATTGACCAGATCCTCGGCGCGCAGTGTCCTCTTCGTACTGCGCTTCCAGCTGTCCGTACGGGCGATGATGTCGGGAAATCAAGGTCCCGATCTTTAACGTTTCCACTGACCATAGTCCGTCTTGTCCTCATCTCGCTCTCAAGCGAGATGCCTTGTAAATGTACATGCCAGCTGGGAGCTGGGGACGAAGTCGCCCGCCAATTTGGGCAGATGGGAGAAAGTAGACGAAAGAGGAGAAAGTTTCTTTGGGCAATTTGGATTTGGATGCTGCTGCAAGATAGAGGGGAGAAGCAGGAGATGAGGAGGCTAGGAGGAGGCGGAGGAGGAGGAGCAGGAGCAGGAGGAGAAGCAGAATGAAGACTAGGAGGAGGAGGAGGAGGAGGAGGAGGAGGAGGAGGGGGGGGAACAGGAGGAGGAGGAGCTGCAAAAAAGCAGCAGAACAGCTTTCTGAGCGACCCTTTTAGGTGTACAAGGCAGTAGCTGAAAATAGCGAACAGATCCACAATCGTCTAGTCCAGATCCAAAATCGTCGAGTCGAGTGTTTTCTCTGGTCCCTTGTTTCTCCAGTCTTCTTCCCCTCGAAATGCCATAAAACTATTCTCAGTCCATTTTCATCTACTTTTTTCTTAGTCCATTTTCAGTGACTTGCTTTCTGAGTCCATTTTCATCTACTTTTTTCACGTAAAAAGAAGATTATCTCATTCTGCCTGCCCTTGATTCATCTCAATCTCCTCGTGACAGCCGTTATCCGATCTTCTCTTTTCTCTGGATTTCACAAGATAGACTTCGTTGTCCAACCTTCCGTCTAAACCTTCAACTTATCATCGTCATCATCGTCATCATCGTCATCATCGTCATCATCATCGTCATCATCATCATCACCATCATCGTCATCGTCATCGTCATCATCATCACCATCGTCATCATCATACTAATAATCATCGTCATCATCGTCATCATCGTCACCATCGTCATCATCTCCCGTATGTCTTCACCATTGTTATCTTTGATTGTTCTTAGGGGAAAACGAAAGGCCTATAACACCATGGATGAATGGATCCACCGAGATCCATCCTACCATGCATCCATCTAACGGTTCATCGATGTCCACGAAGAAAGGCATCTGTCCCAACAGAGACAGACTGAGGACGACAAGCATAGTAAGATAATGACTGCCAGGCAGAGACAAGCACGCGGAGATTCTCTCAGCAAGACAGGCAGACAGATTGAAAAAGAAGAGATTGTTTAATTTATGTATTTTCACTTGAGTTTATAGCACTCAGGAGGGCAAGGAGACAAGCTTTTACTTTGTTCAACGCTACGCAGCGTAGCGCGGAGGAAGTTCTCATTAGGCCGTCGGCGTCCCATCCCCGACCTGCTTCTGATAGCTGCAAGTGGATCATCTCTCTGCGCCAAGGCGGCTATGGCCGCCTTCTTGAATATCACCGCATCGTCCTGAAGGTACGCACTAATTCCAATCTCCTCCGCCTTCGCTTTCAGCCTCTTCGCCTCCTCAGCAATCTCCGCCGCCAATCGAAGTTCCGTTTCGGGATCCATCTTTTTCGATTCTCTCAAAGCCATGGCCGCTATCTTCTCCCTCGTCAATAAGCCGCATAACTGTCGGCTCCTTCCCAACCTCCCTCCCCCCCCYCTCTCSCCCCSCCYCSCCYCSCCYCWCCMCACCCCMCCCMCCCCMCCSGGCCTATCTCTCTCTCCGCAGGGATCTACTGTAATAAGAGTTTCCACAGACAAAACCACCGTCGCCTGACCGTTGACATACTCCTAGACTCTACGATCAGCAATCAATCTCCAGCAATCAATCTCTGAGACTGTGAAGCTCTCTCTTGATTTCGCGGAAATCAGACACTCCACCACACGTCACCACCATTCCTGTCCCGCCTCCGCGATTCGGAATCCTTTTTTTTTTTTTTTTTTTTTTTTTTTTTTTTCCTATGAGCTCCACGGGCCAAAAATTCCTTTACCGCGTCCTGTTGTCGTTCGCAGCTGTGACACTAACACACCTTTTACTGCTGCTTCCCGCTTCCCTCATCCACCGTCGACCAATCCGGGGCTACTGTAGGTCCAACTTACACGAATTAAGCGATATTGACCGTAGATAGCAAAGATCAACGGACAGAATCTCTTAATCCGTGCAAGTGGGACCTTGGCCCCCGCTCGCTTGCAAGGCCTTTCACCCGACTCGACCCCTCGTACGTCCCCGTGTCAACATCACTACATGCGAGCCTACATCTTGTGCTGAGACTTCGTGGAGGAATCATCGATCCTTCGCTGATGGCTCTTGCGAGGAAGTACAATCAGGAGAAGATGATGTGCCGCAAGTCCTACGCGAGGCTGCAATAAGGTTCCCTACACTACACCACACTACACTACACTACAGTCGAAACTGGCGCCGTTCCACAGCGTACTTGAGCTCCACTAATCACGTTCCAGAGGTGATTAAGCTTCCCGCCCTTTTTACAGCACGGTAGAAAACTCTGGTGGCGTGGAGTACAGCGACCGCGGCAAATCCGGCCGAGTTTGAAGTTACTTCCCCGATTTGCTGAGTTTCAACCACCCCGAAGATTCCTAGAAAACGGCGTTTGGTAGTTATCGGGCGTCCCAGGTTGCGTTTGGGCCCACTGATCTGTTTGTTGTTCTTTTTTCCTTTCCTTCTGACGTTGTCCTGGTCCGATGATGAACCTGCGTGGTGAACCACGCGAAGTGGCCGTTGGGTTGGCTACCGCGCGCCCCACCCCAGGTACTGCGCGCGGCCTACCGGATAGCTATCGTCGGGTTGTCTGCCGAGCAGGCCACGAGATAGCGATTGGGGTTGCTGCAGGCATGTGCACCCAGCGGCAGCACGTCCTCCGCTTACTTGTGAAATCTTCGCCTCGGTGGTTTCGTGGTGCGTCTTTTTAGTCAGGAGGGGCCACAGGGTAGAGAACTGCAGGGGGTACCCATTCATCAGACCATCGAACTTCAAGAGGGGATGTATGAACTCGAAATAACAGCAAGACAAACAAGTTAGATCCCTCTTTCTCGGCGGCGTTGGGCGTGAAGTCGGGGGGAGTTCCGTTCCGTTCACACTCGGCCCAGAAACGGAACAGGTGAGTAAAAATGCAGACCTTTTGCCAAGACCCTCACGGGCAAGACCATAACGTTGGAAGTCGAGAGTAGCTATACCATCGACAACGTGAAGACGAAGATTCAGGACAAGGAAGGGATTCCTCGGGATCAGCAGAGACTCATCTTTGGGGGAACGCAGTTTGAAGATGGCTGGACCCTCGCAGATTATAACATCCAGGAGTCCACCCTACGTCTTGTGCTGAGACTTCGTGGAGAATCATCGAGCCTTCGCTGGTGGCTCTTGCGAGGAAGTATAATCAGGAGAAGATGATGTGCCCCAAGTGCTACGCGAGTCTGTATCTGCGAGCGGTGAACTGTAGGAAGAAGAAGTGTGGCCACAGCAACCAACTGCGGTCCAAGAAGAAGATCAAGTGAGAGATGCTTCTCCCTTTCAGCGTGATTGTGACGCGCAACCTCACGCCCTGTGCTGTCTTCCGTTCGGAGTGCTAAAGGTGCGGAAAAAGGGCCTAGAAAAACAGCAAAATGGGGTGTGCAAAGGATTTTTGGAAATTGAGTGTGGGGACACAGACGGAACTGAAATTCCCCGTGTTGGTCCGATGGAGTAAGTCGACCGTTTTTCGCACATCGCAAAATGCGCGCGAGAGTTCGGCGCGAAAGGGGAGAGAGATACAAATTCAATCCAAAAAGTATTGTCGGACTTCCCACCGTGCTACGGCCCTTCATTTAGAGCGAAAAGGTTTCGGCACGCTTCGCGTGTCTCGTCTTCGTATTACGTCCCGACGTCGTTCACCAGTCAGTTCTGAGTCCGACGTGGAGGGCCTCAGTCGTGTGGCTCTTTCCCTGTGTTCGTCTTCACTCCGTACGCGGTAGTGGAAACCCTTGGATTCGTAGCGCTCAAAGCGTTGGCACTCAGTGCATAGAGTGCGAGGCCAGTGGGGTTCTACTGCCGTCCACGGGATGACGATCAACTCGTTAAATGGCAACAGTATCGAGTAAGGTGGAAAGTGTGTATCGATAATGACAAACCCAGCCTCTACGAACCCTGAACAACGATTTTCCGGAGGGAAGTAATATCGTCTGCCGATCCGTGCGACAGCTTCTCGTACGTCCCACTCGCATACACGTGTCCTTTCCTCATCGTAAGGAAAAGATCACGTTGATACGGGAGATACGGGAGCCTGACGCCCGATCGAAGGGCGTTTGTCAGTCCACATGTCAATCAATTGCAAAAATCCCGAGACGTCATCAAGGAAAAACACTCGCACAACCACCAATCAATTCTTTTCGACACGAGAAAGAGAGAAAACACTCATCAGCTTGATCATGCATGTAATTGAGGGACCGACCCGCGACTCATATTTAGTAAGTCACCACGGCGTTGATCCCAGGCGCCTTGTTTCTCGAGGTTGCCCTGTAGATCGGTTGCAGATGTCGTGCAACATAAGGCAGATGGCATGCACAATGCATTCAGAACTACAGATCTAAACACTCTTGCATTCTCGAACAAAATTTCGCCAAGTGCGGCGTCTAATCAATACAAAAAGGCAAGCATCTCCATACATATATTCACTGTGAAAGGTGCGAAAATGACAGGGGTGCACATGTCGGAAATCAACCGAGGGAATTGTACACGCGCATCCACCGTTCACAAGACAAGAGGATCAATTCCTCGACATCCGGGGATTACCCAGGAAACTAATGGAAGAGTTCCGGAAGAAGTTCCTTCACACAGGAGAGCACACAAATTCAT